GCCACTAGAGGTGATTTATTAATTTGTTTTAAATTAAAAAAAGATTTTTAAAGGTTAAAAAAATTAACAGTTTTATTATTATGATTATTATTATTATTATTAGTATTTGGATACATCATTTAAAGATAAAATTGTATCACGTCTCTCATCCTCGTGTGCTTCAAATAAACAACTATCTGCTATCGTAGTCGAAGAATGGGCAAGATCATTAATAGAAAATCACGGAAACAATACCCTCGATCTAGTCAACACATCACCATTTGCATCCAACATATCCACTTTTATGATATCCATACTTGAGTCTGACGCTCCAACTTTCTATTCCGAACTTACTACAATTTTACGTAGAATACGCGGCGAATGTCAAGCATTGCTTAATACATTTGTTACAGTTGGAAAAGTCAATTCTTCAAATATACCCGCTTTACCTACCTGTGTTCTTGGTGAAATAGTAGTAGCCTCCCAACCAGAAAATTCAACTCCTTTATTTAATATTCAAATGGCTACAGAAATTGCCACTACTACTTATGATAATTTGTCACTTCAAATACTCGACAGGAATCATAGATCTCCTCAGGCCCAACAACAACAGGAAGAATGTCAAACTCAACTGCAAGATCGGCATAGACGTGTTTTGAATTCCATAAGTTCCTACGAGTCTACAAAACTAAAAAATGATACAATTGTTTATGCAGCAATTGCTAGTGCTGTCGTGGCTTTACAAGCCCTACCACCTAAACTAAATCCTATTATCAGATCAATTATGAATTCAATAAAAAAGGAAGAAAACATCGAACTACAACAAAGATCAGCAGCTACATTGGCTAATCTTGTCTTCCTTTGTTCATCGAATCAAAGTGGTACTAGAATTAATCCAAACGATAAGATTGTAAAGAACCTTTGTACATTCCTTTGTTCCGACACTACTGTAACACCCGAATTTCAACAAAATAATAATAAAAGGGAAGGCATACTTTCTTTGCAAAAAGCAAAAGAGTCTGATAAAAACACCACATCATCAACGTCGTCATCTAATGGAGATTTTAATTTAACTGATGATGATAAAATTAAATCGCAGAAATTGATAAGACGTGGCGCTGAAACTGCATTGAAAGAATTTGCTTCACAGTTTGGGTCAAAGTTATTTGAAATAGTACCAAAATTATGGCATTGCATGCATAATAGTTTAAATAGCGTATTAAATAATGGTATGTAGCTTTCTTTTTTTTTTTAAAAAAAAAAGAATAATGAGAATTTATTAACTAATATATTTTGATGACATTGTAATATAGATGATGATGAAACAATTGATGCAATGATTTCACAAAATGTTGGAAAAGATATAATCGATTCTCTTCAATTAATTCAATCATTAGTCCCAGCAATTAATGAATCGTTACATAATAAGGTGCATATACAAAATTATAAAATTCTGTAATCATATTTATATTATAATTAATTAATTTAGATCAAATTACCAATATCGTTTGTTTAAAAAATTAATAAATTGTTATATCTAGATAACGGAATTACTTCCTTTTATTATTAAAACTGCCAAATGTCAATATCAAGTAATACGTTCAATGGCAGCGAGATGTTTTGCTTCAATTGCAAATGTAATTACAATGCCATGTATGAAGTTAATAATTGATCAAGTAATGCCTTTATTAGGAGATTCTAAAAATTTGATTCATAGACAAGGAGCCGTTGAACTTGTTTATCGTATGTTTTACTATCTATTTTAATTATTATATAGTATCATTATAATATTTTTAATATTTTTAAAAATATATACAATAGATGTTGTTCAAACTATGGATGCAAAAATACTTCCTTATGTTATTTTTTTGATTGTTCCAATATTGGGTAGAATGAGTGACGCTGATGAAAATATTCGTCTTGTGAGTACCAATACTTTTGCAATGTTGATCAAATTAGTACCATTAGAAGTAAGTAGAAATTTTATAAAATAATAATGCTGCACAAGTACATAATTTTATATTTAAATGAATTTTATTTTTTCCACTATCCAAAATTATTAATAATAAAGGCCGGTATACCTGACCCCCCAGGATTATCTAAAGAATTTTTACAATATCGTGAGCATGAACGTAAATTTCTTGGACAGCTTCTTGATAGCAGTAAATTGGATCCTTATGAAATTCCGGTAAAAATAAAAGCAGAATTAAGGAAATATCAACAAGAAGGTGTCAATTGGTTGGCTTTCCTAAACAGATATCAATTACATGGTATATTATGTGATGGTATGCATATTATTAATAAATCAATCATTTTTTTGATCGTTTAAAAACCAATACTAATTATTTAATAAATAAATTTATTAGATATGGGATTAGGAAAAACTTTACAATCTATTTGTATATTGGCTAGTGATCACTATGCCCGTCTTCAAAAACATAACGCCACAGAATCTTTAGATTGTCCTTCATTGGTAGTTTGTCCTCCAACATTAACAGGTCATTGGTATCACGAGATCATAAATTACACTGATGATTTGAAACCATTAACTTACACTGGTAACCCTAAAGATCGCGAAAGGTACAGCGAGCAATATGTAATAGATTAATAAATCTCATAATAATAATGAATAAGTATCTTACTGATTAATAATCTCTCTCCTTTTTTTAATGATTAGATTAAGACCAAAAATCTTTTGTCACGATGTAGTGATCATGTCCTATGATATTTTGCGTAATGATCTTGATGAATTATCACAAATAGATTGGAATTATTGTATTTTAGATGAAGGACATGTGATCAAAAATGGAAAGACAAAAATAACTAAAGCAGTTAAAACCATAAAAGCAAATCATCGATTAATTTTATCTGGTACTCCAATTCAGGTTTGGGGTTTTATTCAAAAATTACATGTGTGTATATTGTTGAGGAAATAAGTTAATATATTTATTTTTTTTATTTTTTATTTTTTAAAAAAGAATAATGTATTAGAATTATGGTCACTTTTTGATTTTTTGATGCCAGGTTTTTTGGGAACTGAAAAACAATTTAATGATAGATTTGGTAAACCTATTTTATCAAGTAGAGATAGCAAAAGCTCATCGAAAGAGCAAGAAGCCGGTGCTCTTGCATTAGAAGCTCTACACAAACAAGTATTGCCATTTTTATTACGTCGTCTTAAAGAAGATGTATTGAATGATCTACCACCCAAGATCATTCAAGATTATTATTGTGAACTCAGCGATCTACAGGTTCGTATTTGTTATCACACATCCAGGAAATCTTTCAAAAAATAATTCTTTTTTTTAACTAAATTTTTACTAAATTCAAATGTTTCATCCCTCTTTTGCAATTTCTGATTAGAAACAACTTTACGAAGAATTTGCTAAATCACAAACAAAAGGTCCTACGGATACGAACATGGAAGATGCTAATGAAGAAGGCGGCGGTGTAAAGAAGACTACCCATATATTTCAAGCTTTGCAATACCTTCGTAAATTGTGTAATCATCCTTTATTGGTTATGAATGAAAAACATCCTCAATACAATAAAGTTATGGATCGTTTGAAAAATACTCGATCATCCTTACGTGATTTAGAAAACGCGCCCAAGCTTCTTGCGTTAAAGTATTTAAATTTATTTATTGAACTTTTTTTTAATAAAAAAATTTTTTAAAATTAATACTATCATCTATTTTTTTATTTTTTTAATTTAATAATAATAATTAGACAACTTTTGCTTGATTGCGGTATTGGAGTTAATAATGATACCGAAGAGAATACACTCGGAGCTGGTGCAGTTAGCCAACATCGTGCATTAATATTTTGTCAATTGAAAACTATGTTAGATATTATTGAAAATGATCTTTTCAAACCGTTAATGCCATCAGTAACATTCATGCGGCTTGATGGTTCCATTGATACTAACAAACGCCATGCGATCGTACAACAATTCAACAAAGATCCGTCAATTGACGTATTGTTGTTAACTACACACGTAGGTGGACTTGGTCTTAATCTTACAGGTGCAGATACTGTTATCTTTGTTGAACATGATTGGAATCCAATGAAAGATTTACAAGCTATGGATCGTGCACATCGTATTGGACAAAAGAAAGTAGTGAATGTTTATCGTTTAATTACAAAAGGAACATTAGAAGAAAAGATCATGGGGTATGAATTTGATTTTATTTTATACGGTTATAATTATGCATACTTATGACTTTATTATATTTTATTTATAGATTACAAAAGTTCAAATTAAATATCGCAAATTCTGTTGTAAACCAACAAAACTCTGGTTTACAAAGCATGGACACTGATCAAATACTTGATTTATTTAATGTAACATTAGATAATCGAAAAGGTGGTTCTAGTGGTGGCGATGGTGGTAGCAGCAGTAGTGATATAGTTTCAAAGCATAAAAAATTGTCCACAAAGAACATTTTAGAAGGGTTAGACAATTTATGGGACGATTCTCAATATGAAGATCTTAATTTGGATAATTTCATAGAATCACTTGGTTCAAAAAAAAAATCAAATAAAAAATAATAATAGCAATAATTTTATATGATTTAGTTCTTTAGCAAATAATGTAAAAGATTAGCTAGATATATTTAATTACATTAATAAATAATAATATTATAAAAATTAGAATTTATATATATATATTTATATAATATTTACATATATCTCTCTATTCTATGACAGTTTCAACAATATTATTTTGTTGTTGTTGCTGATGATGTTGTTGCTGTTGCTGCTGTTGCTGCTGTTGCTGATGTTGTTGTTGTTGTTGTTGCTGCTGCTGCTGCTGCTGCTGACGTTTATCAATAGCAGAGACCAAAAATTGAGAACGAAATGTTAAAAGTTTTGTTCGCTCAATAATTTGTTGATAAATAGATGTATGATTTTGATTCATGATAACGGTATTCTTTTTTACAAGAATAAAAATTTGTTAATTATTATTTATATTATTAATCCCAATATCGATTTTTAACAAATAACACATTTATAATTAAATTAATTCTTCTTCACCTCTTTAAAATCCATTTTTGCATCAACTCGTGTATCTCTAATTAAATTTACGATCCATTTTTCACCTTCGTCTTGATTTAAATTAAGTGTTTTTGTTAAACCGCTGAATTATTATTATCATCATCGTAAATTGTAATTTAATAAAAAAATTATTGTTTAAATAAGTAAATTCTTTCCACATAAAAAAAAAAAAAATTATTTATAATAACTTACGCAAAATCAATCTTTAAATGTATTCTACAATATGTTTCAGAGATAAGGTAACGAGCATTTTCTATAAACTCCATTTTTGTTGCCACCAAAAAAAAATCATTTGAAAGTACCTCTTCACATTCCTTTAATTTATGTTGAGCACCTTCAAAATCAAAATTTACGTAAAGGCTCTCAATGAACTCAGTAATAGGATCTTTATATTCATAACTTTCTTGCTGAATAATCTTGACCAAATCTTTTAAATTATTTTTTCGACGTTTATTAGTAACTACAGCTGTCGTTAAATATCGGAGAATCCACGGACATGAAGTCTGAATAGTGTTGATGTAAGACGGATTAAAGAATAAATCTATGATATTATCACGACCTTTAGGATGATTAAAAAATACAAATATTGACCAATGAATAAACCAAGTTCTTTGCTGTAATTGATGAAGAGGTGATGTAAAAAACTATATGAACAAATAATAGGGATTGTGTTGAATTTAATTTAATTGAATTAGAAATTTAATTAGATCAACAACTCATTAAAATCGTTAAAATTATGGTTTTATTATTATTACTATTATTACCTTTTGGTCAAATGTCTCTCTTAATTGTTGAACGTCTTCTAAAGCAGAATCCCAATTTAAATCCAAAATGTCGGAAGCAAGCTTTCCCCATAATGCAGAGAGATTGAGTTCATTGTTTGTTGACTATATGCATAGATATTAGTCCAAGGTCATTTTAATTAATTAAATATTACATGTATAAATTCTTAATTTAAATTGAAGAAAAGCGCCACAAACCAACACTCGAAAATGATACAGCATATCGGAAGCACCACCATAATTGCCACAATTATATTGAAATTGACCAAACTGATACAAAGTATTAACCATTTCATCTGTAAGCTAACAAAATTAACATCAATACATAAATTATACAAGTCAGTTAATGACAATAATAGAATCAAAGCTGTGTTTCTTTATTACCTCATAATTATCTTTAAGAAAGGTTAGATTTTGTGATATGTCTTGACGAAGAGCCTCAATTACTTCTGGGTTTTCTATTATATCCAATACCTTTTGTGCCTCTATTTGAAGATTTACAAGTGTTTGAAGAACACCTTCTCTTTTTATAGAAAATTCTTTAAAAATAAATGAATAAAACAAAAGTATTTATCGTTATTGTGTTTGATCTAACAGTATTTTATGTTGATTATTTATTGTGACAATAATTAAGTTAATTGTTTACCCTCAGGAGCTGATTCTACTTGATGGATTTCCATATAAAGTCCTGAGGTAAAATCAACCATATTGGTCTTAGCCAAGAGTTCATATTTAGCTTTTAATAAATCTTCTCTAGGATAAATCTGAAAAAAAGGCTTTCCCATGAGTAATTGTCAACAATAATTTGATTTTTTTAAAAACGATAATAAAAAACCTCATTCATAGACAAAAATTCTAATAATGGAAAGACAAGGTGTCTATCCAAATAAGGAATCATTCGAGGTATAAGATCGTAAGAAGCCATTAAAAGAAAAATTTTTTTTAAAAATTTTTTTTTCTATTTCGTTAATGATCAACATTCAAACAAAAATTTTGCAGACCCAAAGCTTTTTTATTAATCATAACGAAAATGTTTTTCCTCAGAAACACTTCAAAATTTTGTAGATCCAGCCAGCTTTTACTCCCTAGAATCGCGAAACCTTATATATTTAAACAAAACTCGTTATTATCAAATAATAAGTTATTATTAAAAGCTATAACTACAGAAACTAAAGGACATGATTCATACTCTGTCAGAGCTACTCACTTGGTCACAGATGATTTACCAAAATTATCAATCGAAGAAGGCCTTGAAAGTAAAGCCATTCTTCGATATTTATTTAATATATGACTATTTCTATCGATTATATTAATGATTTTTTTCACAAATTAAATTAATTACACATGTAGAAACAATATCGGGAGAATTCCAAGAATTGTTAAGTAAGCATGAATAATTTCATCTGGTATGGTTGTATATTTTCATTTTCTTTAACAATACTTAACGAAAAAATAATCAGCTACCAAAGATCCACAAGAATCTTCAAAGAGTACATACACAATAAATTTTGGACCGCAACATCCAGCTGCTCATGGAGTTCTTCGATTGATTTTGGAATTAGATGGTGAAGTGATAAAAAGAGCAGATCCGCATATTGGTCTTTTACATAGAGGAACAGAAAAACTTATAGAATATAAAACTTATTTACAGGCACTCCCATATTTTGATCGTTTAGATTATGTTTCAATGATGACAAATGAGCAATGTTATTCATTAGCAGTTGAGAAATTGTTGAATATTGAAATTCCCGAACGTGCAAAATTTATTCGTACATTGTTTGGAGAAATTACAAGAGTATTAAATCATATTATGGCAACAATGTCTCACGCACTTGGTGATTATAAAAGCAACAAAAAATTTATTTTTATTTTTTTTTTTATAAAAAAATATATTTATTAAATTTAATTATAGATATCGGTGCATTGACACCTTTCTTATGGATGTTTGAGGAAAGAGAAAAGGTTACAATAAATATTTTTATTTTATTTTATTTGCAGTGATTAGTGCCTTTTACATTCGATATATTTTATATATATATATATACACACATATACACATAAAAAAGACTAATAGAATTTATAATTTTTAGTTAATGGAATATTATGAACGTGTATCGGGAGCTCGAATGCACGCAGCATATGTACGACCAGGCGGAGTGTCTCAGGATATGCCATTAGGCTTGATGGAAGATATATATCAATGGGCAACACAATTCGGTGCTCGCGTAGATGAAGTTGAAGAGGTTTTATCAGCAAATCGTATATGGAAAAATAGGACTATGGATGTTGGTTTAGTTACTGCACAGCAAGCACTGGATTATAGTTTTTCTGGTGTGATGTTACGTGGCTCAGGTATCAATTGGGACATACGTAAAGTTCAACCATATGACGCATATGATAAAGTTGAATTTGATGTCCCAGTTGGTACAAAAGGTGACTGTTACGATCGTTTTCTTTGTCGTGTCGAAGAAATGCGACAAAGTCTAAGGATTATTCATCAATGTTTGAACAAAATGCCAACCGGAGCTGTTAAAACCGATGATTGGAAAATAGTTCCTCCTAATAGATCGTCCATGAAAGAGTCTATGGAGGCATTAATTCATCATTTCAAGTTATTTTCTGAAGGTTTTACTGTTCCACCCGGAGAAACTTATACTGCAATTGAAGCACCCAAAGGTATATCGCTGTTTAACTATTCCATTCATTGCCAACTGACTATTAAATTACTAAATATTCTTTGTTTATACAATAATTTTCCATCTATAATATGTGGTACCTAGGGGAATTTGGTGTTTATTTAGTTTCAGATGGTAATTAAATAATTAAATCTTTTAATATTTCTTTTTTTTTCTTTTTTTTTTCTTTTTTTTTTTTTAAACCAGTTATTTATAAAATATACTCGCTGATTTAAATTTTTACAAAAGGCACCAATCGTCCATATAGGTGTAAAATACGCGCACCAGGTTTTGCACATTTAGCTGGTTCAAACTTCATGAGTACTGATCATTTTATTGCTGACATGGTAGCAAGTATGTTAATTATATTTAAATTTTATCCGTCTTTTAATTACTATGGTGAAGTTGATACTTATGAATTTTAATTATATATGTAGTTATCGGTACTATGGATGTAGTCTTTGGTGAAATTGGTAAGTTGAAACAAAGTCTTATTTTCTCCCCAATTATAAAAGTTTATCATTAATTATTAAAATGATTTATTATTGTTGTTTAGATCGATAATCACGAATAACATTGACGAGTTTCTTTAATATGATCTTTCTTTTTTGACAAAATCATGATCATAATAATAGTAATAATAATAATAATAATTTAATTACAATTTATTTATTTATGTTTAAATTCTTTTTTAACCATTAACCATAATGATGAAATACAACTTAAATTTTACTTAATCGACTTTTATAATCGTATCATCATGGTTTGAAATATTTTAATGCTGTATGTATATATGTGTATATAGATATATTTCATGAATATTTGAAATAAATTCCAAAAAACATATTACTGTGGTATTTCAAAATGACGCTTTCTTTGAAGGAAGAGACATTGATTATTTCTATAATAATAACAACAAATATTATTATGAATGGCTCGGTCTAAAGACTCCTATTGCTGTGCCACACGCTCAAATTTCAAAAATTGCGATTTCGTGATTCGTTCAAAAATGCAATAACAGTCAAACGATATGTCACGGGAGGTGTAATTGCATACAGTCAGACCTCTATAAATGCACCTTTCATAAATGCACACCCTCCATACTTTGTACTGCACGGTATTTTTTCAGTCCACTCATATGAAAACACCCTCCATAAATGCACCCCCTTGGTCCCAAGGGGGTGCATTTATGGAGGTCTGACTATTAAAATAGAAACCCAGACTCGTGTAACCAATCTGTTTTTTTTAAAATATCTCATTATTTTTATAACAAATTCAATCATCATTATTAATCAAAAATAAAACTATGACATTATAGCTTTCTAACGAGCCCTCTCCCGTATTGATAGAGTCTCTCTATGTCAAGCTATATTTATTCAAAAACAACATTACTTTTTACTTCAAAGCTACCTTTATAAACTTGGTGAGTGGTTGAAAAGATGTAAAATATTGTAAGTTTTCATATAGGTATAGCTTTATGTGGATTGTTTATTAAAATTTGGTGAAAATGGCAAAAACCCCAAAAACATAAGTTTATTTATGTCAATACACAGTGTATAAATTCCAGTGTGTAACTAATGCAGATTTCTACAAATTTAGAAACTATCTGCAGAAAACTACTAATGTACGATGTTACACCCGCACATTGAATTTTATACCAATTAATTTCCAAATGCGGTAATTTGGTTGATAAACTTTAACACCAATATTTTTTTCTATTTTATTAATAACCTCTCCTAATTTTTTTTCTAAAAGAAGGAATAAGTCCTGTGTCTCAAATTTAGCAAAAAAAGGTTAAAATTAAGGTTTGTGACTAATTTTATTAATAGAATTTCGATGTTGATCACCAAAAAATTTCGGAAAATACACTTTGTGACGGATAATGACACTTGATCTGCAATGTTAATCTGTCATGTGAATTAGAAAGCCCCACCCACGAATTTGAAAATGATCTATATACCGCATAATTACATCAAATTTGTGTGTACGTATCCTTAAAATGTCGTCTACAAACGAATTCGAAAATACTTTTGAAGATTTGCTTCATAAACCCACAATCAACTCCATATCAGACACTTTAAGTGATGTTGATGTTTCAAATCCTTTTCATGATACCATCTCATCATTAATTGCACCAGAAAAGATAAATGAAGAAACCGACTTCATGAGTGAATATAGCAGTTCTATAAACAATGTTTTTGCAAATGATATTTCAGATCCTTTAGAAAGTATGTTGAGTTCGGCCATTTCTGAAACTAAACTATCTGATGAGGAAATTTTTAATAATTATCATGATAATTATGATGACGACGATGAAAGAGAATTTGAAAATATAGAAGTTTCATCGACTAAAGATCTTGATGTCATCGCTTCATTTTCTATTCAGAGTCAAACACATGAAGAAACTAACAATTACGAAGAATTGGTTGATGAAAATTATGATGATAATAATAATAACAATATTAGTAATAGTAGTAGCATTCAGGAACAGAATGATAATGAAGACATTATTTCTAATCATGTAATTGATCACATAATTTTTAATTTTTTGGTATTATTATTATTTAATTTATTAACATATTATTATTATTTACTTCTCATAGTATAATCAATTTGATGGTTCAGAAAATGGGCTGAATCCTATATTTGAGATTTCAGTGGAAGATCCTCAAAAGATTGGTGATCCAATTAATGCTCGCATTGTATATAAAGTTAGAACTAAGGCATGTTTTGATTTCAAATTTAAAAAAACATAAATATATTTTTTTTCAAATTAAATTAATGATTTTTTTTTATTTGTTTTAGACATCATCAAAAGATTTTAAAAGCAACGATTTTACGGTTTTGAGAAGATATCGTGATTTCTTATGGTTGTATAATCAGCTTACACTTGGGAATCCAGGTGTAATTGTTCCCCCACTTCCAGAAAAGCACGCTATGGGTAAATTAATGAGTTATTAATTTAAATTAATAGCTTTATAAATTAATTTATATATTTTTGGAGTTAGGACGTTTTCAGGATGAATTCATAGAAAACCGTCGTCAGGCGCTTGAAAAATGTTTGAATAAAATTATTTCACATCCAAATTTATACAAAGATCGAGATTTGAAAATATTCTTAGAATCTGATAATTTTAACATTGATGTAGTATTTAAGGGATCATTCATAATGAATATTTTTTAACCATAACAGAATTAACTTATATATAAATGCATATATGTTTTTATTTAGGTAAGGAGAAATGAAGAACCCAAGGGTGTTTTAAAATCATTGGGTGAAGCTGTTTCTAATGTTACCGCATTTAATAAGTTTACTGAAATGGATGATGTGAGTAAACTAACTCCACAACTCATAATTATGTTAGTTTTTGTACTTATGAGAAGAAAAAAAAAGACTGGTTACAATGTAAAAAAACTTTTAATTTAGTGGTTTGAAGGCCGTAAAAACCAATTAGATATACTCGAATCACAATTGAAAACACTGCTTAAATCTGCCGAGTTGGTTGTTAGACAACAGAAGGGTGTTTATTATTATTGTTATATTTGTTATCTTTTTATTTTTATCAAGCAAAAGTTATTTAATCTTGAAAATCCTAATCGACTGATTTTAATACAATGTTTTAATAGACCTTGGAGGTTCAGCAATTGAATTTGGTGATAGTTTGTTTGCATTATCTGATGTTGAAGTTAATAAACCATTAGCAAACAATTTATCAACTTTAGGGAAATTGCAACAAAAAATTAGAGAATTACACATAAAACAGGTCAACTGACTTTATTTAAATTATATGCGCACATATATACATTTATATATATATATATATATATATATATATATTTTATATTGGATTTTTAGGCACGTCAAGATGTTTTAACATTGGAAAATACCATTGAAGAATATATTCGCATCATTGGATCAATTAAAGTTAGTAATAATGCCAATAATACTGATAAAAAAATTTTTATTGATTTTTTAAACAATAAAATTTTTTTGAAAATTAGGTGGCTTTAAATTCAAGGACTAAAGTTTATCAAAATTGGCAAAGCGCTATGAATGATTTGCAAAAAAAAAAATTAAATTATGAAAGATCAAAATCACAAAACAGATTAAGTCAAGAAAGACTTTCATACATGTTGGCTATAATTGCGGAGGTTATTATTATTATGCTGCTAAACCTCAAGATAAGTTTTCAAACTAAATATAAACGATTGTCATTTTAGGGTGAAAACAAAGTTGAAGATTGTAGACATGAATTTGAAGATGTTACAAAATTGATTAAGGCAGAATTGGACAGATTTGATAAAGAAAAAGTCGAAGATTTTAAAAATAGTATCGAGTCATTTTTGGATTCTATTATAAAAACTAAAAATGAGGTAAGTTAATTTATTGAACTTTAATAATTTCAATTTTTCAAATCTTCACGATTTATAATCTTAATTGTTTATAGATAATCAAATTATGGGAATCGTTTTATCAAGAAATCGAATCACACCAAAGTTTTTAAATTGATGAAAATAAAGGCAACAACAGTAATAATAAATAATAGTAGCAGTAGTAATATAATAACAATAATGACAGCAATCATTTAATTAATTCTTATGACCTTCTTTTCACCTAACGTTCATTCACCTTAATTGTATAATATTTAATTAATTTAGTTTTCGTTTTTGGAAATGTTAATTATGTATGATGAAATAAATATTTATTTGCCAAGTTTCTTTTAATAAAATTTTTTTCCTCCATAATAAAAGGTTTACATGATGATTTCTTTTAACAATCTTAAAATCAACAATTAATTGTCTTTGACCATATTGTCTCCCAATATTTACAAACCTTTATTTATTTAGTTATTATAAGATTCTAGTAATGCTTTAGCCTTGTCTATATTTTCTATAGCAGTTTTAAAATCATTATAGTTTAAAGCACTTACTGCCCATTTACAATATTTTTGAGCAGTTGCAACTGTGTTTGGATCTATTTCACAATGACTATTTGATTTTAAGTTTAGAGTTGATCTTGTTGGCTGTTGTTGCTGACCGGTTGAAGTAGTTGCATTTGGTGTTCTTTGTTGTTGTGGTAATTGTGAGTGGTGCGGTTGTATTGAGGATGGAGCCGTTTGTGTTGGTGTTATTGATTGAATATAATTAAAAGGTTGAATTGCTTGAAATGTTTGCGATTGTTGAGATGTTTGTTGTGGAATATGAGAAAGGTTGGAAACAACAGGTTGTTGGTAGAACAAGTCATTGTTGTAGCCGTTTGCATTAGATTGCGGTAGTGATGGTGACGTTTGATGAAGCTGTTGCTGTTGTTGTTGTTGCTGTTGCTGTTGCTGTTGCTGTTGCTGATTGTTATGATGATATTGTGGATTTTGTTCATAAAATGCAGGTGCATTTGAATTAAGTTGTTCAGAAAAATCCGATTGTATAATTGGCTGTTGGTTATTAAACTTATCAAATGACATATTGGATGTAAGTAATTCGTTATTATTATTATTATTATTATTATCATTATTACTGTTGTTGTTATTATTACTATTAAGATTAACTTTGTTAAATTCACCATTTGATTTGGGTGGTAAAGGAGGCCCGGTTGTTGAAACATTTGATAATGGTGCTGAAGGAAATTGATCAATTCCAGGGACAAAACCAATATTATTATTAATATCATCTTTATTATTGTCAGGTGCTTGTTGACCTGCATTAGTATTAACATTATCAACGTAAGTTGGTTCTTGTGATGTAGGATCACCTCCAGGAGGACCAGCAATTGGTCTTTGACCATCCCTCAATGCCTTAATAATATGTGCAGCCTTCCATTTCGCATATTTAATTTTATTTTCGACCTTTAAATTATATTATTCAATTCAGATGATATATTCATAAAATATCAAAATATTATGATCAACAATTTTTTAAACATATATAAGATTACAAAATATAAATATGCTGATGTACATACCTCAGGACTTAATTCACCAAATATCTTTAGTAGCTCCAAGAATATAGATGATGCCAAAAAAGTCATCGCAGTTTGCCTATAGAATAATTAACGTATGCATGTGTTTTCGATTATTATTCTTTAAAAATTAGAAAAATTTTATTATTGTATATAAAAAAACCATTGTCCTCATTTATACTTTGTGGCCTTCCCAGCCCTATCAATGTTATCGGCATTTAGGAAAATTTTTATGGCAAAATTTTCTACGAATGCTTCACCGACGATATCATTTGTAACTGCCTCATTATTTGAAAACTTTTTCTTTTCCTATGAATAAATAGGCAGGTAAATTGATGGATATATGGGATATATGTAACAATAAAAATTATCAATGTTTTACAAATGGATAAATTGATACCTTTTCAAGAACATCTAATAGTTTAAAAAGAAAATTTTGACTTTCTCCTTTTTCTTTTGTTCCTTTTTCAATGGCTAATTTTGCTGCGTAATAATTGCCTATACAAATAAATCTTTTAATAAGAAATTGGTTGTTGTTAGCTCGTTTGAAACCAACAGTAACAAAATGGCTTTCTTACAATAATAAGCTATTATTGGCTCTCTTTGTTGTAATTCTTGTGCTCGTTGAAGATAAGGACTAATGAATTTGAGTTCATTTGGTAATGGTGGTAATGAATTCATTTTGTGAGGAGAAAAGGAAATTTTTATTATTTTTATGCATCTAAAAAACAAATGACAATTTTAATTTAAATTAATATGGGGCCCCTGAAAGCTTCTAATTGAGGTTCCAGGCAAACAAAGGGTGGAGAATGATATTATTACGTATAAGACTTTTAAGGGTAAAAATGATATTTACAATATTAAATCCTTTGAATAGCAAATGAAATTAAAAGCTTAAATGAAAACGTCATTACTATTACTGTATAATAATAACGGATCATTATAAAAAAAAAGTCCGTTATATTAATATCAAAGATAATAAAAAATAATAAGGTGATTTGCTAAAATGGAAAGTGAAAAATAATGGGGGGTCAAAAGGGACGCTCACCTCCTCTTGTGATACCCTTCTTTCACCAACAAGAACCCATTTTCTTGCTGTACTAGTACCGTTTTACAATCTTAATGAAGAAATTGTTAAAATCAACAGGAAACATAATACACACACATCTAAACTCGATAAGTCGGACGCAGCAATCAATTGTTTAATGAATAAAAAATATTATTAAGCATTGACGGCACATTTTGATGGTCATTTACAAAAAAGAATTCGATTCAGGGGCCCTCTCAAAAAATTTGTGTAATAGACCGTGTAACGTGCAAATGTTGAGACCTCCCATATCTAAACACGTTATTTTCTGGCCTTTCCCCCCAAAAAATATTTTTTATCGCGCCATTTTTTTTTTAAAAAAAATGGCTTCAAACTTCAACGAAAGATTGTGTTAATGTAAAAAACTATAAAGATAATAATATTATTAGAGATAGTAATATTATTAAAGATAAAAATAATATCAAAACAACAGATATTGTAAAGATAAAAATACAATTGTATTAAGAAAGTTAATACCAAATGCACGTTCAGGTTGGTAAATGCCATAAATGCCAGAATTGGAAGAGGGTGGAGTCATCAAAGAGCTCTTTTCATAAAAAATACAATTTTTTTTCTTGGCTTTTAATAAGGTGTATATTTATTTTTTAATAAAGAAATATATTTGCCCGTATAGATCGATGTTATTCTTTTTTTACAAACGTTCGTTAAATAAATAAATAAAAAGTTGATTTTGCTGTTCCGTGAAAAGAAAAGCATTCGTACGAAAGTGAATATTCATTACTTCAGGATTGAATGTTGAACATTGAATTATTAACTTTACACTGCAAATTAACTACATTGGTTATTATTTTATAAGCAAGGTGTTTGTTATTAGTTGGACATAAACGTCAGAGTCTTTTCCCACCATCGACTCCAAATGGTGGTAATGAATTCATTTTGTGAGGAGAAAAGGAAATTTTTATTATTTTTATGCATCTAAAAAACAAATGACAATTTTAATTTAAATTAATATGGGGCCCCTGAAAGCTTCTAATTGAGGTTCCAGGCAAACAAAGGGTGGAGAATGATATTATTACGTATAAGACTTTTAAGGGTAAAAATGATATTTACAATATTAAATCCTTTGAATAGCAAATGAAATTAAAAGCTTAAATGAAAACGTCATTACTATTACTGTATAATAATAACGGATCATTATAAAAAAAAAGTCCGTTATATTAATATCAAAGATAATAAAAAATAATAAGGTGATTTGCTAAAATGGAAAGTGAAAAATAATGGGGGGTCAAAAGGGACGCTCACCTCCTCTTGTGATACCCTTCTTTCACCAACAAGAACCCATTTTCTTGCTGTACTAGTACCGTTTTACAATCTTAATGAAGAAATTGTTAAAATCAACAGGAAACATAATACACACACATCTAAACTCGATAAGTCGGACGCAGCAATCAATTGTTTAATGAATAAAAAATATTATTAAGCATTGACGGCACATTTTGATGGTCATTTACAAAAAAGAATTCGATTCAGGGGCCCTCTCAAAAAATTTGTGTAATAGACCGTGTAACGTGCAAATGTTGAGACCTCCCATATCTAAACACGTTATTTTCTGGCCTTTCCCCCCAAAAAATATTTTTTATCGCGCCATTTTTTTTTTAAAAAAAATGGCTTCAAACTTCAACGAAAGATTGTGTTAATGTAAAAAACTATAAAGATAATAATATTATTAGAGATAGTAATATTATTAAAGATAAAAATAATATCAAAACAACAGATATTGTAAAGATAAAAATACAATTGTATTAAGAAAGTTAATACCAAATGCACGTTCAGGTTGGTAAATGCCATAAATGCCAGAATTGGAAGAGGGTGGAGTCATCAAAGAGCTCTTTTCATAAAAAATACAATTTTTTTTCTTGGCTTTTAATAAGGTGTATATTTATTTTTTAATAAAGAAATATATTTGCCCGTATAGATCGATGTTATTCTTTTTTTACAAACGTTCGTTAAATAAATAAATAAAAAGTTGATTTTGCTGTTCCGTGAAAAGAAAAGCATTCGTACGAAAGTGAATATTCATTACTTCAGGATTGAATGTTGAACATTGAATTATTAACTTTACACTGCAAATTAACTACATTGGTTATTATTTTATAAGCAAGGTGTTTGTTATTAGTTGGACATAAACGTCAGAGTCTTTTCCCACCATCGACTCCAGATGATGATGTTAGAGCTGTTGCTGCATCTATTTTGGTCCCTATAGCCGATTATTTTGTTACTAATTCTTCAAATAAAATACCGGAACTTGTAAATGTATTATGGGATTGTTTAAAAGATCTGAAAGATGACTTGACTGCATCAACAGCAAGTGTAATGGATTTATTAGGTAAATATCTTTTGATTCGTCTTAGAGTATGATTAATCATGTTATTCATTAATTAACAATAATTATTTGTGTTAATTAATTATTTAGCAAAATTATTTTCATTTCCTGTTGTATTGGATTACATGAAAATAGCATCTACTTCAAATATAAAGTAATATTTCATTATCACAATAATAATTGTTTTAAAAGAAAAGAAAATTTATTTTTTTGTTTGTTTTTTTAGTCACTCTTTATCAACCTTAATTCCACGACTGTATCCATTCTTTCGTCACACAATTACTTCAGTGCGTTCTGCAGTTCTAAATACTCTTTTGACATTTTTGAGTATGGATGAGGCAGAAGAATGGGTTGATAATCGTGTCATGAGACTTGTATTCCAAAATATGATAGTCGAAGAAAAAAAGGTTTGCTGGCTTTTATATATATATATTAATTACAAAAAAATAATTATAATCTAAATTATATTTTTTATTTTGAAAGGATATTCTTGATTTATCGCTTGAAGTTTGGTCGAAAATATTATCTCATACAACAAAATCAAGTCAAGAAAACAAAATAATTCAACTAACCTCTCAACATATAGCAACATGGTTTGGAATTGTTATGACACCGTTGGGCACTCCAATAGATAATAGATTATTTTTTATAACTGAAGGAGCAATACCTATGGAAATAACTCCTGCCACTACTACAGCATCTACGTCATCGTCATCATCATCAAATTCAAGATTCCGTGGTCAAAATCGATCCCAAAACACTAATGGTAATAATTCAGATTCGATCGGATATAATATTGACGCTGGAATGTTACAACAAGATTTTGCTCTTGTTAGTGTAGATACTGTGCTAAGAGGCAGAGTTATTGCATCTAAAGGTTTAGGAATGTTAATGAGTCGATGGCCACTAGAGGTGATTTATTAATTTGTTTTAAATTAAAAAAAGATTTTTAAAGGTTAAAAAAATTAACAGTTTTATTATTATGATTATTATTATTATTATTAGTATTTGGATACATCATTTAAAGATAAAATTGTATCACGTCTCTCATCCTCGTGTGCTTCAAATAAACAACTATCTGCTATCGTAGTCGAAGAATGGGCAAGATCATTAATAGAAAATCACGGAAACAATACCCTCGATCTAGTCAACACATCACCATTTGCATCCAACATATCCACTTTTATGATATCCATACTTGAGTCTGACGCTCCAACTTTCTATTCCGAACTTACTACAATTTTACGTAGAATACGCGGCGAATGTCAAGCATTGCTTAATACATTTGTTACAGTTGGAAAAGTCAATTCTTCAAATATACCCGCTTTACCTACCTGTGTTCTTGGTGAAATAGTAGTAGCCTCCCAACCAGAAAATTCAACTCCTTTATTTAATATTCAAATGGCTACAGAAATTGCCACTACTACTTATGATAATTTGTCACTTCAAATACTCGACAGGAATCATAGATCTCCTCAGGCCCAACAACAACAGGAAGAATGTCAAACTCAACTGCAAGATCGGCATAGACGTGTTTTGAATTCCATAAGTTCCTACGAGTCTACAAAACTAAAAAATGATACAATTGTTTATGCAGCAATTGCTAGTGCTGTCGTGGCTTTACAAGCCCTACCACCTAAACTAAATCCTATTATCAGATCAATTATGAATTCAATAAAAAAGGAAGAAAACATCGAACTACAACAAAGATCAGCAGCTACATTGGCTAATCTTGTCTTCCTTTGTTCATCGAATCAAAGTGGTACTAGAATTAATCCAAACGATAAGATTGTAAAGAACCTTTGTACATTCCTTTGTTCCGACACTACTGTAACACCCGAATTTCAACAAAATAATAATAAAAGGGAAGGCATACTTTCTTTGCAAAAAGCAAAAGAGTCTGATAAAAACACCACATCATCAACGTCGTCATCTAATGGAGATTTTAATTTAACTGATGATGATAAAATTAAATCGCAGAAATTGATAAGACGTGGCGCTGAAACTGCATTGAAAGAATTTGCTTCACAGTTTGGGTCAAAGTTATTTGAAATAGTACCAAAATTATGGCATTGCATGCATAATAGTTTAAATAGCGTATTAAATAATGGTATGTAGCTTTCTTTTTTTTTTTAAAAAAAAAAGAATAATGAGAATTTATTAACTAATATATTTTGATGACATTGTAATATAGATGATGATGAAACAATTTGATGCAATGATTTCACAAAATGTTGGAAAAGATATAATCGATTCTCTTCAATTAATTCAATCATTAGTCCCAGCAATTAATGAATCGTTACATAATAAGGTGCATATACAAAATTATAAAATTCTGTAATCATATTTATATTATAATTAATTAATTTAGATCAAATTACCAATATCGTTTGTTTAAAAAATTAATAAATTGTTATATCTAGATAACGGAATTACTTCCTTTTATTATTAAAACTGCCAAATGTCAATATCAAGTAATACGTTCAATGGCAGCGAGATGTTTTGCTTCAATTGCAAATGTAATTACAATGCCATGTATGAAGTTAATAATTGATCAAGTAATGCCTTTATTAGGAGATTCTAAAAATTTGATTCATAGACAAGGAGCCGTTGAACTTGTTTATCGTATGTTTTACTATCTATTTTAATTATTATATAGTATCATTATAATATTTTTAATATTTTTAAAAATATATACAATAGATGTTGTTCAAACTATGGATGCAAAAATACTTCCTTATGTTATTTTTTTGATTGTTCCAATATTGGGTAGAATGAGTGACGCTGATGAAAATATTCGTCTTGTGAGTACCAATACTTTTGCAATGTTGATCAAATTAGTACCATTAGAAGTAAGTAGAAATTTTATAAAATAATAATGCTGCACAAGTACATAATTTTATATTTAAATGAATTTTATTTTTTCCACTATCCAAAATTATTAATAATAAAGGCCGGTATACCTGACCCCCCAGGATTATCTAAAGAATTTTTACAATATCGTGAGCATGAACGTAAATTTCTTGGACAGCTTCTTGATAGCAGTAAATTGGATCCTTATGAAATTCCGGTAAAAATAAAAGCAGAATTAAGGAAATATCAACAAGAAGGTGTCAATTGGTTGGCTTTCCTAAACAGATATCAATTACATGGTATATTATGTGATGGTATGCATATTATTAATAAATCAATCATTTTTTTGATCGTTTAAAAACCAATACTAATTATTTAATAAATAAATTTATTAGATATGGGATTAGGAAAAACTTTACAATCTATTTGTATATTGGCTAGTGATCACTATGCCCGTCTTCAAAAACATAACGCCACAGAATCTTTAGATTGTCCTTCATTGGTAGTTTGTCCTCCAACATTAACAGGTCATTGGTATCACGAGATCATAAATTACACTGATGATTTGAAACCATTAACTTACACTGGTAACCCTAAAGATCGCGAAAGGTACAGCGAGCAATATGTAATAGATTAATAAATCTCATAATAATAATGAATAAGTATCTTACTGATTAATAATCTCTCTCCTTTTTTTAATGATTAGATTAAGACCAAAAATCTTTTGTCACGATGTAGTGATCATGTCCTATGATATTTTGCGTAATGATCTTGATGAATTATCACAAATAGATTGGAATTATTGTATTTTAGATGAAGGACATGTGATCAAAAATGGAAAGACAAAAATAACTAAAGCAGTTAAAACCATAAAAGCAAATCATCGATTAATTTTATCTGGTACTCCAATTCAGGTTTGGGGTTTTATTCAAAAATTACATGTGTGTATATTGTTGAGGAAATAAGTTAATATATTTATTTTTTTTATTTTTTATTTTTTAAAAAAGAATAATGTATTAGAATTATGGTCACTTTTTGATTTTTTGATGCCAGGTTTTTTGGGAACTGAAAAACAATTTAATGATAGATTTGGTAAACCTATTTTATCAAGTAGAGATAGCAAAAGCTCATCGAAAGAGCAAGAAGCCGGTGCTCTTGCATTAGAAGCTCTACACAAACAAGTATTGCCATTTTTATTACGTCGTCTTAAAGAAGATGTATTGAATGATCTACCACCCAAGATCATTCAAGATTATTATTGTGAACTCAGCGATCTACAGGTTCGTATTTGTTATCACACATCCAGGAAATCTTTCAAAAAATAATTCTTTTTTTTAACTAAATTTTTACTAAATTCAAATGTTTCATCCCTCTTTTGCAATTTCTGATTAGAAACAACTTTACGAAGAATTTGCTAAATCACAAACAAAAGGTCCTACGGATACGAACATGGAAGATGCTAATGAAGAAGGCGGCGGTGTAAAGAAGACTACCCATATATTTCAAGCTTTGCAATACCTTCGTAAATTGTGTAATCATCCTTTATTGGTTATGAATGAAAAACATCCTCAATACAATAAAGTTATGGATCGTTTGAAAAATACTCGATCATCCTTACGTGATTTAGAAAACGCGCCCAAGCTTCTTGCGTTAAAGTATTTAAATTTATTTATTGAACTTTTTTTTAATAAAAAAATTTTTTAAAATTAATACTATCATCTATTTTTTTATTTTTTTAATTTAATAATAATAATTAGACAACTTTTGCTTGATTGCGGTATTGGAGTTAATAATGATACCGAAGAGAATACACTCGGAGCTGGTGCAGTTAGCCAACATCGTGCATTAATATTTTGTCAATTGAAAACTATGTTAGATATTATTGAAAATGATCTTTTCAAACCGTTAATGCCATCAGTAACATTCATGCGGCTTGATGGTTCCATTGATACTAACAAACGCCATGCGATCGTACAACAATTCAACAAAGATCCGTCAATTGACGTATTGTTGTTAACTACACACGTAGGTGGACTTGGTCTTAATCTTACAGGTGCAGATACTGTTATCTTTGTTGAACATGATTGGAATCCAATGAAAGATTTACAAGCTATGGATCGTGCACATCGTATTGGACAAAAGAAAGTAGTGAATGTTTATCGTTTAATTACAAAAGGAACATTAGAAGAAAAGATCATGGGGTATGAATTTGATTTTATTTTATACGGTTATAATTATGCATACTTATGACTTTATTATATTTTATTTATAGATTACAAAAGTTCAAATTAAATATCGCAAATTCTGTTGTAAACCAACAAAACTCTGGTTTACAAAGCATGGACACTGATCAAATACTTGATTTATTTAATGTAACATTAGATAATCGAAAAGGTGGTTCTAGTGGTGGCGATGGTGGTAGCAGCAGTAGTGATATAGTTTCAAAGCATAAAAAATTGTCCACAAAGAACATTTTAGAAGGGTTAGACAATTTATGGGACGATTCTCAATATGAAGATCTTAATTTGGATAATTTCATAGAATCACTTGGTTCAAAAAAAAAATCAAATAAAAAATAATAATAGCAATAATTTTATATGATTTAGTTCTTTAGCAAATAATGTAAAAGATTAGCTAGATATATTTAATTACATTAATAAATAATAATATTATAAAAATTAGAATTTATATATATATATTTATATAATATTTACATATATCTCTCTATTCTATGACAGTTTCAACAATATTATTTTGTTGTTGTTGCTGATGATGTTGTTGCTGTTGCTGCTGTTGCTGCTGTTGCTGATGTTGTTGTTGTTGTTGTTGCTGCTGCTGCTGCTGCTGCTGACGTTTATCAATAGCAGAGACCAAAAATTGAGAACGAAATGTTAAAAGTTTTGTTCGCTCAATAATTTGTTGATAAATAGATGTATGATTTTGATTCATGATAACGGTATTCTTTTTTACAAGAATAAAAATTTGTTAATTATTATTTATATTATTAATCCCAATATCGATTTTTAACAAATAACACATTTATAATTAAATTAATTCTTCTTCACCTCTTTAAAATCCATTTTTGCATCAACTCGTGTATCTCTAATTAAATTTACGATCCATTTTTCACCTTCGTCTTGATTTAAATTAAGTGTTTTTGTTAAACCGCTGAATTATTATTATCATCATCGTAAATTGTAATTTAATAAAAAAATTATTGTTTAAATAAGTAAATTCTTTCCACATAAAAAAAAAAAAAATTATTTATAATAACTTACGCAAAATCAATCTTTAAATGTATTCTACAATATGTTTCAGAGATAAGGTAACGAGCATTTTCTATAAACTCCATTTTTGTTGCCACCAAAAAAAAATCATTTGAAAGTACCTCTTCACATTCCTTTAATTTATGTTGAGCACCTTCAAAATCAAAATTTACGTAAAGGCTCTCAATGAACTCAGTAATAGGATCTTTATATTCATAACTTTCTTGCTGAATAATCTTGACCAAATCTTTTAAATTATTTTTTCGACGTTTATTAGTAACTACAGCTGTCGTTAAATATCGGAGAATCCACGGACATGAAGTCTGAATAGTGTTGATGTAAGACGGATTAAAGAATAAATCTATGATATTATCACGACCTTTAGGATGATTAAAAAATACAAATATTGACCAATGAATAAACCAAGTTCTTTGCTGTAATTGATGAAGAGGTGATGTAAAAAACTATATGAACAAATAATAGGGATTGTGTTGAATTTAATTTAATTGAATTAGAAATTTAATTAGATCAACAACTCATTAAAATCGTTAAAATTATGGTTTTATTATTATTACTATTATTACCTTTTGGTCAAATGTCTCTCTTAATTGTTGAACGTCTTCTAAAGCAGAATCCCAATTTAAATCCAAAATGTCGGAAGCAAGCTTTCCCCATAATGCAGAGAGATTGAGTTCATTGTTTGTTGACTATATGCATAGATATTAGTCCAAGGTCATTTTAATTAATTAAATATTACATGTATAAATTCTTAATTTAAATTGAAGAAAAGCGCCACAAACCAACACTCGAAAATGATACAGCATATCGGAAGCACCACCATAATTGCCACAATTATATTGAAATTGACCAAACTGATACAAAGTATTAACCATTTCATCTGTAAGCTAACAAAATTAACATCAATACATAAATTATACAAGTCAGTTAATGACAATAATAGAATCAAAGCTGTGTTTCTTTATTACCTCATAATTATCTTTAAGAAAGGTTAGATTTTGTGATATGTCTTGACGAAGAGCCTCAATTACTTCTGGGTTTTCTATTATATCCAATACCTTTTGTGCCTCTATTTGAAGATTTACAAGTGTTTGAAGAACACCTTCTCTTTTTATAGAAAATTCTTTAAAAATAAATGAATAAAACAAAAGTATTTATCGTTATTGTGTTTGATCTAACAGTATTTTATGTTGATTATTTATTGTGACAATAATTAAGTTAATTGTTTACCCTCAGGAGCTGATTCTACTTGATGGATTTCCATATAAAGTCCTGAGGTAAAATCAACCATATTGGTCTTAGCCAAGAGTTCATATTTAGCTTTTAATAAATCTTCTCTAGGATAAATCTGAAAAAAAGGCTTTCCCATGAGTAATTGTCAACAATAATTTGATTTTTTTAAAAACGATAATAAAAAACCTCATTCATAGACAAAAATTCTAATAATGGAAAGACAAGGTGTCTATCCAAATAAGGAATCATTCGAGGTATAAGATCGTAAGAAGCCATTAAAAGAAAAATTTTTTTTAAAAATTTTTTTTTCTATTTCGTTAATGATCAACATTCAAACAAAAATTTTGCAGACCCAAAGCTTTTTTATTAATCATAACGAAAATGTTTTTCCTCAGAAACACTTCAAAATTTTGTAGATCCAGCCAGCTTTTACTCCCTAGAATCGCGAAACCTTATATATTTAAACAAAACTCGTTATTATCAAATAATAAGTTATTATTAAAAGCTATAACTACAGAAACTAAAGGACATGATTCATACTCTGTCAGAGCTACTCACTTGGTCACAGATGATTTACCAAAATTATCAATCGAAGAAGGCCTTGAAAGTAAAGCCATTCTTCGATATTTATTTAATATATGACTATTTCTATCGATTATATTAATGATTTTTTTCACAAATTAAATTAATTACACATGTAGAAACAATATCGGGAGAATTCCAAGAATTGTTAAGTAAGCATGAATAATTTCATCTGGTATGGTTGTATATTTTCATTTTCTTTAACAATACTTAACGAAAAAATAATCAGCTACCAAAGATCCACAAGAATCTTCAAAGAGTACATACACAATAAATTTTGGACCGCAACATCCAGCTGCTCATGGAGTTCTTCGATTGATTTTGGAATTAGATGGTGAAGTGATAAAAAGAGCAGATCCGCATATTGGTCTTTTACATAGAGGAACAGAAAAACTTATAGAATATAAAACTTATTTACAGGCACTCCCATATTTTGATCGTTTAGATTATGTTTCAATGATGACAAATGAGCAATGTTATTCATTAGCAGTTGAGAAATTGTTGAATATTGAAATTCCCGAACGTGCAAAATTTATTCGTACATTGTTTGGAGAAATTACAAGAGTATTAAATCATATTATGGCAACAATGTCTCACGCACTTGGTGATTATAAAAGCAACAAAAAATTTATTTTTATTTTTTTTTTTATAAAAAAATATATTTATTAAATTTAATTATAGATATCGGTGCATTGACACCTTTCTTATGGATGTTTGAGGAAAGAGAAAAGGTTACAATAAATATTTTTATTTTATTTTATTTGCAGTGATTAGTGCCTTTTACATTCGATATATTTTATATATATATATATACACACATATACACATAAAAAAGACTAATAGAATTTATAATTTTTAGTTAATGGAATATTATGAACGTGTATCGGGAGCTCGAATGCACGCAGCATATGTACGACCAGGCGGAGTGTCTCAGGATATGCCATTAGGCTTGATGGAAGATATATATCAATGGGCAACACAATTCGGTGCTCGCGTAGATGAAGTTGAAGAGGTTTTATCAGCAAATCGTATATGGAAAAATAGGACTATGGATGTTGGTTTAGTTACTGCACAGCAAGCACTGGATTATAGTTTTTCTGGTGTGATGTTACGTGGCTCAGGTATCAATTGGGACATACGTAAAGTTCAACCATATGACGCATATGATAAAGTTGAATTTGATGTCCCAGTTGGTACAAAAGGTGACTGTTACGATCGTTTTCTTTGTCGTGTCGAAGAAATGCGACAAAGTCTAAGGATTATTCATCAATGTTTGAACAAAATGCCAACCGGAGCTGTTAAAACCGATGATTGGAAAATAGTTCCTCCTAATAGATCGTCCATGAAAGAGTCTATGGAGGCATTAATTCATCATTTCAAGTTATTTTCTGAAGGTTTTACTGTTCCACCCGGAGAAACTTATACTGCAATTGAAGCACCCAAAGGTATATCGCTGTTTAACTATTCCATTCATTGCCAACTGACTATTAAATTACTAAATATTCTTTGTTTATACAATAATTTTCCATCTATAATATGTGGTACCTAGGGGAATTTGGTGTTTATTTAGTTTCAGATGGTAATTAAATAATTAAATCTTTTAATATTTCTTTTTTTTTCTTTTTTTTTTCTTTTTTTTTTTTTAAACCAGTTATTTATAAAATATACTCGCTGATTTAAATTTTTACAAAAGGCACCAATCGTCCATATAGGTGTAAAATACGCGCACCAGGTTTTGCACATTTAGCTGGTTCAAACTTCATGAGTACTGATCATTTTATTGCTGACATGGTAGCAAGTATGTTAATTATATTTAAATTTTATCCGTCTTTTAATTACTATGGTGAAGTTGATACTTATGAATTTTAATTATATATGTAGTTATCGGTACTATGGATGTAGTCTTTGGTGAAATTGGTAAGTTGAAACAAAGTCTTATTTTCTCCCCAATTATAAAAGTTTATCATTAATTATTAAAATGATTTATTATTGTTGTTTAGATCGATAATCACGAATAACATTGACGAGTTTCTTTAATATGATCTTTCTTTTTTGACAAAATCATGATCATAATAATAGTAATAAT